TTCATGTAATCATAATCACGTTCTAATTATACCTGTTATCTAATAAATGCTTGACAAATAAATAAAATTAAAATAAAATAAATACAATGTTCATTCCCTGCACGATGCTAAGGATCAGGAAAGATCCCAAGCATCAAACCTATCCTGCTCACTGCTTAGTTATAGAAATGGAACCAGCGGAAACCACAGAGAAGGGCAAAGGGTATTTTCCAAGGTGAAGGGAGAGGAAGGGGGGGGAAAATAAGGATCATGAATGTATAATTATACCTCGAGTGAAATCTGAGATGCTGAGCCGTAATCTGAGCTGAAAAAGAAACATGTTGCAAGCTTTCTAACCTCATTAATTTTAAGACAAAGGGGTAACAACTCTTGTAATGATAAAAAAAATTAAAATAATGGCAAGAGGGAATCTAATTAGTTCATGGGTTCTTTGAGTAAGCAGAGAGCTACAAAACCCATTTCTACAATGAAAAACCGGCTTAGCCAAATTGTCTCATTGCAAACAGAACTTTTATTTTGCTTAATTACAACAGACTGCAGCATTGTTTTCCTAAGCATTTACCAGACAATCTTTTTGTAGAGCAATTCAAATGAGCTCTGTTGTTCGGGGAGGCCTGGGGAAGGGGTGCACACACAGGCAGAGCCCTCTATTAAAAATCAAATATTTTATTTTGTACTTGAAAATAAAGGATTGTTAATGTACGTTCAGCGCGGAAATCAGAAGCTTTTGAATTGTTTGCTCTTTTTTTTTTTTTTTAATTAGGAAAGGAGCAAAACCAATTTGAGTCTGGATCCAAAGATGGAACCTAGTTGTAAAAGGAAGGAGGAATTAAAAAAAACAAAAAAACAACCCTGTACATCTGCTGACATTAGCAAATGTTGAATTGGCTGTGTCAGACCTAAGAAAGCTACAACTAATAACCAGATGCCAATGATTTTCCTTTTATTCAGCGCGAGGGTGTGTAGAATGCTCATGAGGAATGAAATGTGAAATTTCTGCATATATATTTTTTTTCTAATGGAGTCCCTTTTTTTTTCCAGATTGAAAGAAATGTAGCAGAACCCATTGGTGCTGCTGTCAGCCAAAATGAATGATAACCTGTTATTCTCTTCTCCCCCCCCACAACTTGACAAAACTGGAAAAGAGCAATACCAATAGCACTGCAATAGCACTTAAATTTATATACCGCTTTGCAGTGCTTTACAGCCCTTTCTAAGGGGTTTACAGAGTTCAGCCTCTTGCCCTCAAACAATCTGGGTCCTCATTTTACCCACCTCGGAAGGATGGAAGGCTGAATCCACCTTGAGCCAGTAAGTATCGAACTGCCGAACTGCTGGCAATTGGCAGTCAGCAGAATTAGCCTGCAGTACTGCATTCTAACCACTATGCCACCACGAAGGAGAGAGACTTAGTTTAAGGAGAAATGGAAAAAGATTTAGTCTTAAAGAGAGAGAGAGAGATGGAAACATGGATGAGAAGAGGGATGCTAAAATTATGGTTTATGATATTTTGGGGAGGGGGGGGTGTGCCTGAACAAATTTAGGGAGGTTGTCCTTGCTTCCCTTATTCCCAAAGATAGACAGCCTTTGCCAAACTGCCAGTGGCACACTGGGCCATGTGTGAATCTTTTCCTTTAGTGGTTTTTGGGTTTATTTATTTATTTGTATCCCACCTTTATTATTTTTATAAATAAGACAAAGCAGCAAATGTATCCAACCTACCATCTTCCTCCTATTTTCTCCACAACAACCTTGTGAGTTGGGTTGGACCGAGGGAAGTGACTAGCCCAAAGTCAACCAGTTGGCTTTCATGGTTAAGATGGGACTAGAATTCACCGTCTCCTGGTGGTTGGCCCAAAGTCACCAGTCGGCTTTCCTGCCTAAGATGGAACTAGAACTCACTGTCTCCTTGTGGTTGGCTCAGTCACCTGGGAATCACACATGTTATTATAGTGACCGACCTATGGCAGCACAATGTTTTGACAACCTCTAAAATGCAAAAAAAAGAAAAAATGAAAAATGTAGTCCAGTTTCTCCAAATTAAGGAGGTTGCATTGTTAAGCATGTCTAACGTCTAACTTATTTCATATTTTAGAGTACAAAATCTGGGGGGAAAGCCCCCCCCCCCAAAAAAAAACCCATAAAAAAGATGCACCCTAAGATGTCTGATTATCCTAAAGGGCTAGCTTTTATTCTCAACAAAAGGGAAATTCTAAATACAAAGTAAAAGAAACAAATGACTTTGGAGGCCTTATCAAAATCTAATTGAACTTAAAAAAAAAAAAAAAAAAAAGGATGCCAATTTATTATAGGTTGAATTCTTGAGAAGTGATCTATTGGCCATTCCAAGGAGTCAACAGTAGCCATCTGCAGCTTTCTATAGGAAGAGGAACTTTATGAAAATGAAAACAGATGGACATTTGCATGCAAAAGGTCCCTCACTCAGTCCTTGGCATATGCAAGTAGACATAACATTAAACTCTGCACGGCAAGCTTTAAAATAAGGAATATGTTGCGCAGCCTTAATAAAATTACACAACACGTATGGCGGAATGTAAACAGTAGATTGTTAGAACAAACTGTAATTCTTTTAAAAATTACATTTAAACAACCTTTCTAAGCAAGTTCTTGCTAGAAGTCATAAATAGTATTTGGATTAAGTTAGTCATAACTACATTCCTTGGAAATTAATGGGATTCCATTCAGCGTGGTGACATTTCCCATGAGTAACTTAGTCTGAGTTATAGAAATTAAATACTATCAATTTTGAAATGTAGCATTAAAAAGACAGCAACGGAACGGTATATTAATAAAACCTCAAAGAATTGATATTAATAGTATATTAAATAACATTTATTTTTTATATTTATGGGACATTTCTCTCAAGATTAAAAAAAAAAAAAAAAGAATGTGGCAGGGAAGGGAACTGGCTGCATTTACCCATATCTTAGTTACATTCAATGAGATTGGGATTCTCCCCCAAAATAATGTTCATAAATATTCTATGGTGAAATGGGCAAAAATATGTGTTGGAGGACTGGAGGGCAAAACATACAATGAATGGTTGAAGGAACTGGGTATGTCTAGTTTAATGAAGAAAAAATGATATATCAGCCTTCCGATATTTGAGGGGCTGCCATAGAGAGGAGAGGGTCAATCTATTCTTCAAAGCAACTGAAGCAGTGGTGGGATTCTTTTTTTTTTTACTACCGGTTGTGTGGGCGTGGCTTGGTGGGTGTGGCAGGGGAAGGATACTGCAAAATCCCCATTCCCTCCCCACCCTACTGACCTGCTTTCCAGCTCCGTTCTCCTGTGAAGGGCAACAAAAGAAGACCCAGCCAATCAGCTGGGACTTGGGAGGCGGAGAAGAGATGGGGGCGGGGCCAGTCAGAGGTGGGATTTGGCGGTTCTCTGAACTACTCAAAATTCCCGCTGCCGGTTCTCCAAAACTGGTCAAAACCTGCTGACTGCCACCTCTGATTTGAAGGCAGGACAAGAGACAATTGGTGAAAGCTCATCAGGGGGAGACCCTACCTGGAACGAAGGAGAAATTCCCTGACAGAACAATTAACCAGTGGAACAACTTGCCTCCAGAAGCTGTGAATGCTCCCACACTGGAGGTTTTTAAGAAGAGACTGGACAACAATTTGTCTGGAATGGTATAAGGTCTTCTGCTCAAGGTCCTTTAAAACTTTATTCTGTATTCTGTATACTATTTTGCTGATAATGCTCCAGGGAAGCTAAAGAGGTTTTTAAGGTTGGTTCCAGTGGTGGGATTCAGATTTTTTTACTACCGGTTCTGTGGGCGTGGTTTGGTGGGCGTGGCAGGGGAAGGATACTGTAAAATCTCCAGTCAGAGGTGGGATTTGCTGGTTCTCTGAACTACTCAAAATTTCCACTACCGGTTCTCCAGAACTGCTCAGAACCTGCTGAATACCACCTCTGGTTAGTTCATATTTCTCACGGATGAAACCTTCCTACATTTAGTGAGAAGAAAAGACTACAGCCTCTCCCAGCCTGATAATTGCCAGCAAAGCAAGTTAACTAAACTCCTAATCATATGCAGGGCTCTAATCACTCCTTCCCTTCCCCACCGAGTTTTAATTTTCCTCTTCTTTAATAAGAGTGTGAGATTCCCACTTTCTCTTTTTGTATTTCTTTTCAAAACTTCATTTCAAAGCCTACCTCCCTCCCTCCTTCTCTCTCTCTCTCTCTCTCTTTATCTCCTCCACTCCAAAGGTAAGGGAAAAACCACAAGAACCCTGCAATGCCTGCAGTGAAATAAACATATGCAATGCCAATGTGATGATTTATATAGGAAATTTTCTTTGAATATTCCATTTCCCATATCTCCATCCTATTCCTATATTTCCTGGTTATGTCAATATTGAGCTTGTGTTGGCTGGCTAATTGGCAGGAACACTGCATATTATGGAGGACATGTCCACTGTGGCATTTTGTGGTAATACCACTGATCATGACTAGATGCTATTGACAGAGTTGACCTCCATGAATCAGCTGATATGGTAGACTATATCTAACACATTTAAAAAGCAATCCCCTATTTCCTCTGAAGACCACATCAACAAGAAATTTCTACAGAACTACAGGAATTTATAAAGCATTGTCTTACTTGAAATTGTTTGATCTCAAAATTCCCCATTTTGAGTTTGAAACTGTTCAGGTCCTATTGGTATTCTTCTATTCAGGAAATATCCTAAACTCAAAATGTCCCCAATTTTCAATAACGATGTCCTGTCTTTCTTTTGAAACAGAAAATCTTGACGAAATAGTAAAACACTCCGAACAAAACATGAGCAATTATTGTAAGTTGGAAAAGACACATGCCAATCTCAAACTAATGGTTTCAAGATTGGAATGTCTTGGTTTAAAATATGTTGCATGCCTGCAGTGAAGTTTTCTTCTCTTTTCATAGCAAAGGGGTATCTTGCTTTGATAGGTTGTAAGCAAAGAAAGGAATGAACCATGCTCGTACCAACCTGACATTGCTGGAAGTTCAGGTATTTCTAAAACAGAAGTCACAATGGAAACATGAGTAGGGGAGAGAGGGAGTGGAGGAAAGCAAAGGATAAAGATGTAGTTCATATTTGCAGACAGTTCAATGAACAGATGGCTTCTTAGACAAATGGCCCAGTTTATGAATGAAAAAGTATCCAACAATGACATTATGGATGCAATAGACATGACAACATGAAACATACTGGAGTAGATGGTGGTCATCTAAAAATTGAGAGTAGCCACAGGACAATGCTACTTGTGTTAGCTTTGGAAACTTGATATTAGAAACTGTCTTCGGTGTTGAGATCTTACCTGGGACATTGAAATCTGTGCTTTGAAAATGCATAATTTGAGATGGAATATTGGCCTTGTTGTCTCAGGCGCAAGCTGCAAATCTACTTGACTTGATTTTAAAATCTCATTTTCAATTTATGCAATACACTGAACTGCCCATGTTGAAATAAAGAGGTAAAATAAGCCTTCCTTCCCCATAAATAATTATAGGAAACATTAAACAAATAAACATATTGGGCAAATGCATCTCCTTAGTCTGCAATCCTAGTTAAGTAGGTTTTTCATGTACAGTTACAGGGTTCATCAAGCCCCACATCCTATCCTGAACTATCACCAGATTAAGTGGGATTGTGACTACAGGAGCATTGTTGAAATAACATTTAATCTTGGACTCAGTGGAATTTTTACTGGACCAACTTCAACACTCTTAAAGTTTGAGAAGGTCCTGCCTTGAGCTTCCTTTTAAGTAACTACTATCCTTCATATCTTATTGATGCATTTTTTTTGTCCAAGAATCTTTGTTTCTAGATAAATTAACTCTTGAAATACCAAATGATACCAAAGCAGAATCTGCAGTTTCCCAGTCAACTCTGAAAACCTAATTTTGATCCATCCTAGTCATCTCATCATATATTGTACATATCTTCACACACCATGCAATGTGGATACTCATCAACTTTACTGCTTCTCTACAAGGTGTTTTAATAATCAGTGTCTCAGACAAGCTCCTGTCTTATCTGTCCCCTTTTGCTAAATTTTCTCCGGTCCACAATTTTGCTCTTCTTCCATCTTCCATTAAAGACTTTTAGGAGATCTTTATGTATTCTGTTGATCTGTATACCTACCATACAGAATTATACTGGCATTGGTGTTCCCCAGTTTGTTGATGGCCACACAGGTATAATTGCCATAGTCCTTCTCCGAGACATTAAAGAAGGTTAACGTAGACATTCGTCCTTTGTTTTCAATTTTCAAGCCATCCAGCCCATTAGCTAACCTACAAGGAAGACAAACCATGAGTTTAGATTAATAATATATCAGTAATAATCCAAGAAGTGGAATTCAATTACTTTCAAACTTTTAGGCTGCAATCACTCCTCAATTTAAATCTTACTCTTGGTCCAATAAATTGACATAGGTGGTATTTTTTTTATAGCATCTCTTTGAGGTTGGTTGGATGGATCTTAAAGGTCCATTTTCAAGGTTAATTGAGGCCTTGAGGTTTATTCTCATCCATTTCCTATTCCAATTTTGTAGCCAGTTCAACAATGCCTCCCCGCTAACTTTGTGTTTTTCAGCAGCAGCCATTTATTTATTACTTTGTTTGTTTCAATTCCAAATCCTTGAAGAGCCATCAGCAGTAAGGTAGACTAGAATATGCTCTGTTGATCAAAGACTATAAGGTAATTTCCTATGCTCATCATAAAGAAAATGTTATTAAAGACTGGAATTAACCCAAATGCATTTAAGATAAATTTAATATAATACAACAATATTATTTAATATCGTTGATGTGCATTTGTGCCTAGGATACATAATGCTCCATTTTAAATACTGGAAAAAAAAGAAAAGAAATGACAGGCTGAATTTAATGGCCTGCCTGAAATTTGTCTTAATGCAGACTTTAACTGCGTCCTTCAGCTGTGTGAACATCATTCACAGATGTCCTCAGCTAGAATGGCTGTTGCTGAGAATTCTGGAAACTGAAGTCCAGATTAGAGAAAATATAACAGGTCAGGGGAAATGCACATGATAGCTGTTGTGCACTGCTGACTTGACTGATAACATTCCCTTAGCTCAAGAAAGCCATTTCTTCCCTAGAACATAAATCTGTCATTCTTAAGCTACTGTAATGGCCTTAAAAGAGTGCTTGGGTACCTGGTTTCTTCTTTAAACCACTGAAATTCTGCTACTGGGACAGCTGAGGCCTCACAACGCAAGATCCCCTTCTGACCAACTGAAACACCAGTATTCTTAGGACTGGAGATGGATGGAGGATCTGGAGAGGAAAGGAAAGTTACTTCAAACTCTTTCAGATTATTTGCCAAGTCTGCCCCATGAATGAATCCTGATGGCAGACAGAATCAGTTGGAATCAAACTCAGGAATGTTGAGGGGATAGTGATCACGCAAATATAGAAATGGAAGTAATTTGGTCTTCCCCATCCTGAGTTTGTTCAAATGTATCAGTCTACAAGCTCCTGGAGGCCCAGCTGAATGAAAATGAGAAAAGTTCCCTCAAAAATAAAACTGGGCAATGTAGTTGGATTTACCACAAACAGCTTTCTGATCACTTATGGACAAGGACTTGAACTGATTCCAGGACAAGACAGAAAGATAAGAAGGGATCTATCCTTAACTTGATGTACTCCAGATCTTCTCTAAATATAATCTGCTACTTGATTAGGAGAACCTCAAAGTGATGTACCAAAATGCTAGCATACTAGCATTAATCTCACATAGGCCTTTCAGTGAAGTCAAACTAGGAAACTTTCTTTTCTGTATTTTTTCCCAAAGAGGGAACAGGTTTAATGGCTCTTGAATCACCTCCAAAATGTCAAAACCCTTTCAAAATAATCAGTACTATTTTAATCTGAATAGTTACACGTCCTTTGTGCTTCACGTTGCTAATGAAGCTTTTAAAAAGTGATTGTCCAGAAGGGCAAAAGGCATGAAGCATAATTAAACCTAAGTATGTTATGTTCTTATGTCAGCTTGGCAGAAATAGACTTCCGTGTGTTTCTCCTGAAAGGTGGAGATTTCTTAATCTGTCATGCGTGCATGGTTAAGCATCAGCAGAATTTCTCTCCCACTGTGTTTTAATTTTGAATTTCTCTTCAGAAGAAAGTTAAGAAGTTAAGAGAAGACAACAATCTCTTACCAAGTATTCTCCCAGCTGCTGCAGTAGAGATGGGCTATTTTATTTTTGGAGGATAATAGATAGAAAATGTCAAGCTATTAATTTATAAGAATTATATAGCTAGATGGCACACCTATAGCTTAGATCCTGGAAGTGTTGTTCTAATAGGATTTATGAATTTGGTGGAACAAGAATGTTATTTTGCTAATTGTTCTAATATAGCTAAAAGGCAGAACATGTTTCTGCGTGCATAGCATCTTTGTTTTCACACCCGATACCTGAAAAAAATGATATGGAATTGATGAGGAATGGAGAAGGAAGTCAGAGAAAGGGTACAGAGAATCATCTGACTTGCTATGAAAGAAGTCCACATTTTAGAGTGAGATGCATATTTTAAAAAAGGCTGATCAAAGTGCAATTAAACAAGATCAGAGATGATGGTAATCCAGCCTTCAAGTCAAGAAAGATCCAGAAGTGTCTTGGGAAATATTAATATCAGTGGTAAAGCAAGCTTACATACTAATCAATAGCTTTCAAATGATGACATTGCTTTGCTTTGCTTTGAAACATGTCCTCTCCAAACTTGGAAACTTTAAGACTTGTGGACTTCAACTTCCAGAATTCCTCAGCCAAACATGTTGACTAGGGAATTCTGGGAATTGGAGTCCACAAGTCTTACAGTCACCAAGGTTGGAGATCCCTGATCTAATGAATGAATGGCAGGCTGGTTTAAATATGCTTGGGACACTCCTAGTGAAACCACTGCCAAATTAATCATATCTAATGTAAGTCACTAATATTTTATGTGTACCACTATTATTTCTTTTTTTGTTTTAGCATTGTGTAGAAGCTGGAAAGAAATTTACTAGGTTCACATATATTCCACTTAGTTGTAAACCGTTATTTACAGTCCATAATCATTTGGTTTTCACGGTGCTAAGCCGTGTTCGAAGTTTAGCACGTCATATGAACTCAACCAGTCTCTAGTTTTCTATCAGAAAATCATCTTGTTTATTGTGGGCTTGTTGATGTGAACCCAACTGCCTCTGTTTCAGGAATAAAATTTAAGCCCACCCTTCCATGTTAGCTTGGAATTCAGGAGTGGAAGGCTAATATGGGATCCAGACGATAAGAGTGGAAAAAAATCACAGTTTACCAATGTCAGCCTAATGCCATGGTTTAGATTTGGGATAAGTCTCACTGAAAACACAATGGGAACAGTGGGTCTTGCAATCTGAGATTTTCCACAGCAGCTTTAGGCAAGCTCTGAAATCTTCCCATGGTGCAGTGGTTAGAATGCAGTACTGCAGGCTACTTCTGCTGACTGCCAGCTGACTGCAATTTGGCAGTTCACATCTCACCAGGCTCAAGGTTGCCTCAGCCTTCCATCCTTCCGAGGTGGGTAAAACGAGGACCCAGATTGTTTGAGGACAATATACTGACTGTGTAAACCATTTAGAGAGGGTTGTAACGCACTGTGAAGTGGTATATAAGTCTAACTGCTATTGCTATAATTTGAGTAGCATTTCTTACACCAGTATTTCTCAGCCATAGTGGCTTGAAGATGTGCGGACTTGGAAGTCCACATAACTTCACGTGACCAAAGTTGAGAAATGGCCTTACCCAATCATTGTAAACAATGTAAAGATACACATGCATCATGCTTGAAAATGCTCTTTAGAAAATCCATGACTCTGTGGAAAATGACTATGCATGGAGGTTCACTTACAGTTGACAGTCACTTTCACCCTCCGAATATCGGGTGCTGCCACATCATTGACCGCGGTGCATTCATATTCGCCAGATTGTTCTCTTGTGATGCCTGTGATTTCCAAGTACTCATCATCGCTTATAAATCCCTGACCTAGAACAGAAAAGGGAAAGAAATACAGAGAAGATTAAAAAAAAAGACTACAAAGAAAGAGGTTGAGACTTTGGAAAAAGTTCAGAGAAGAGCAATTAAGATGATCAAAGGCCTGGAGATTAAAACTTCTGAAGAATGGCTGTAGGATCTGGGTCTGGCTAGTCTAGAGGAAAGAAGAATTAGGGGTGACAGGGTACCAGTGTTCCAGTATTGGAGGGGTTGTGTCATGCCCCTGGTGGAGACTGACTGAGGAAGAGGAGGAACAGCCGACAGGGAGTGGAGGTGTGGCTCCAGAGGTTGTGGAGGAGGCTGGGGAAGGGCAGAGGCTGGCTGGGCAGTCAGAGGAAGAATCAGGCCCATCCCCTCTCCATCCTAGGGCATGCAGGGAGGAGAGGATAAGGGAGAGACATGGTCTACTGTAGAGGAGAGGGCCTTGATTCTCTTCATGAGTTGCAGCCATGACAACTAGATAAGAGGACGGACATGCGTACGGGCGAGTGCTGGAAACAAAGCATGAAATATTTCTAGTTTATTGTTCCTCTCTGAATTTGGCATCCTTCCCAGTGTGTGTTCTGATATCTGTGGACATCTTCAAGCCCTCATCTTGCCTGGTTTGTGTTGTTTTTTACTCTTTATAAATTAAATGGCATTTCCTCCTTCTTGTAACTGCTTGTGTGGCAGGTTTTTTTTTTTTTTAATGTCTCCAGTCAAGGATATTTGGAGCTTGGAAGCGAAGTGAAGGAATAAAAGAGGCTTCACCTGTTTTTTGTGACTGTGGTTATTTTGTATCCCACCCTGGGTCATCACAGGCTGCCACAAAGAAAAGGGGTCAAATTATTCTCCAAAGCATCAAAGGGCAGGACAAGAAACAATAGATGGAAACTAATCAAGGAGAGAAGCAACCTGGAATGAAGAGGAACTTCCGAACAGTGAGGATAATTAACCAGTGGAAGTTGCCTTCAGAAATTGTGGTTGCTTCATCACTGGAGGCTTTTAAGAAGAGTCTAGACAGTATAATAACTATGGAAAATAGGTGCTCCCATAAAAGTATGTGATTTAACTGAAAAGTAATGTGCTAAATGTTTAAGATATAAATGAATATCAATATTAATGAATAGATTTGTATTGGTTTTGATAATACTGTATAATTTTAGAACGTACCAGACAGAATCCCAATGTAAGTTATGTGTTTTATATTAAGTATTATAAATATAGGGGAAAGAGATAAAGGCATCATACTCCGTTTAGTGTACAGGAGAAGTTTTTTTCAAAGAAGAAAGATAAATGGATAGCTGGAAATAGAACAAAGAATAATAAATATTATGATTCGAATTGAGAGGAGATAAATAAAATAAAATTGAGAAAATTTAAAAGGGAGGAGAAGTTATATAGAAAATTGAAAATGCTAACAAGATATGGAATGGTATGTAAAATGAATATGAATTTGAATTTGTGTCTGTATCAAGAGTTTTAACCCGGGACTAAGCAACTTTCAGAAAAGAGATTTTTTTATGCTTTTATGTTTTGTGTTTCTGTGTATTTATGTTTTGTATGTCTTTAAAAATTAATAAAATTTGTTCAAAAAAAAAAAAAAAAGAAGAGTCTAGACAGTCACTTGTCCAAGATGGTATAAGTTCTCCTGCTTGAGCAGGGGGTTGGACTCTATTCTATTTTAATGTTCTAATATTTGAAAAACGATGTCTTTGACTCTGGTTCTCTTCCATTTTTGCAGTCTGAACGGTGTGATTTAAAACTCTCCAGCCTCAACATTTTTTGCTTTTAAACTAGAGGTGGTATTCAGCAGATTCTGACCAGCTCTGGAGAACCTGTAGCGGAAATTTTGAGTAGTTTGAAGAACCGGCAAATCCCGCCTCTAACTGGAGATTTTACAGTATCCTTCCCCTGCCACGCCCACCAGGCCACACCCACAGAACCGGTAGTAAAAAAAAATTAAATTCTCCCACTGTTTTACATGTTAGTATATAACTAGCCATTTTTACGATGACAAATCTATGTAATTGACAGAACCAAAGTCAAAGTTTCATTTCATCACAAGCACAATATTCCGAAGTGATATCCAAATGAACAATATGCTTAAATATATTCTCCTCTTTGAATAAAATGATCGATTTAACCATTTCTGCTTTCTCTTCTTTGCCGTGGAAATAGTACATATTTCTATTTGCACTTAACAATCTTTGTAAACTATCACCATTTATATTAACAAGATTCACTGTATTCTTTCAAATTCTTTGAACTTACAGGGAAAAATACTCTTTTTATATTGTGATAAAGAGAGTTGGAAGTCAACACTTTTTTTCATCTTTTTCCTTATACTTTACATTTTCTTTTCCCCTCTCTTTTTCCTTCCCCTGATTTCCCATTTCTACTTTTCTTTCTTTTTCATATATAGCTAAAAATAAAAAGAGCCTATCTTAACAGAATGGTGTGTTTTTAGGTAGGGCCAACTGTCAATCATTTCTGGGTGGACTAAATGGCATTTCACCCATGTGGTTCATGGGTATGATAAATTATTCAGCAGATTCTCTGGAATCGGGAGAGTTTGCTTATTTTCCCCCCTCTTCTTGACAATTTCCCCATTATTTTACATTCTCTGCTGTTAAGATGGTCATGATGTGGAAGAGAAATATGCAAACTTTGAACGTATTTGCAAAAAGAGGTCATAAAATATATTTGCTTTTATGGGGGGAAAAAACTCAGATATTTTCCAGGGAGGAAAGCTTTTGAGAAAGCTTGGTTCAAGTTTACCAAGTGCAGGATATTTAAGATTTATGGATGATTTAACAGATAATATTGGAAATGGATTTAGGGCTTCCAACCAAATTTTCGGTTGCTGTTTTTAGTTAGTCAAATACTCTACATGATTACTTTTTGGTTTTTCTTTAAAGAAATATGCATGTATGCAAAAGGCTATTTAATGTGTTTGGATATTGAAAAATTCAACAAAAATAACTCCTTTTTAGAAAGAAAAGATTCATTTTTTTTCTTGCTATAAAACAACACTGGGATTAAAATGTCTTTTTAAAAAGTAAACATCTTTTTGTTGCAGCCAAAGGAAACTGCCCTTGCTGATTAACAACCAAATGACCCAAAGAACAGCAACCTTCATTGTGATTATTCTACTGGTTGTGATGGTTACAACTCACAACTCAATGTGTTATTTCTGAAAATGAAACAGGTTGTTTTATCCTGAATGACAGTTGATGGAAACGATGGACCTACCAAACACTCAATGATTTTTTTTCCCTCTTCTACTGCAAGGAATCAACAAAACTAGTGTTACATATGCCTGATAGCTAAACACCTAGGAAACTAGAATATTCAGATTCACAAGCTTAATAAACTGAGCCTGCAAATCTATGTTCTCTGATTTAGCCCTAGGGCAACAGAAGGGATTAAATTGTTTCTGTAAGATTGGAGACAGTCTTGGGCAAAATACATTGTCACAGATATCTTTTTCCTGTCCCTTAGAGACCCTCGGAGGTTGTAGTTGTTGGACACGTCACCTAAACGAGTGTACTTTTGCAATAGATAAGCCTTACCCAGAAATAAACCCACCAAGAGCTAAACAATGGATGTCAAAAGTTTTTAGCATTTGCTTTCTTTTCTTGGCTGTCCTTTGAACAATTCCTTGCAACCTGGCCTGAAATTTTCACGGGTTCTCCCGCTGTACCAACACTGGTTAACCAGTCAATTTGCAGCTCTCAGCTCCCAGGAAAATGCAGGAACACAGGTGTAAAACCTTGCCCATTCTTCTCCAAAAAGGCCGACGTATGAAAAAGGGGAACAGTAACCCCTGCTGCTCCAAACAGAGCACAGCGATTGGAGAAGCAGTTTTTACAACGATGCTTGACACCATTTCCTGCTGGTTCAGATCTGTCATCCCACAGAGCTTTTGCCAGTAACAAAAGGATGCCGGACTGCAGCTCACACAAGTATTGCTCAGGTGCTACCAGTCTGAGGTTTCTTTCATTCTACTTGGTTTGAAGAAAAAAAAAAAGAACAAAAACCCTGCTTCCCTGATACAGTTTATATAGAACTTGAAGTATGGTACAAATCAGGAGAAACCTGTCTCAAAACCAGTAACTCTGAGAGGAACTTTGGAGTCCTCATGGACGATCACTTAAACATGAGCCAGCAGGATGCGTTGGCAGCCAAAAAAAAGCTAACACAACCCTTGGTTGTATAAACAGAGGTACAGAATCAAAATTAGCATTACTTCATCAAGCCTTGGTAATACCGCACCCAGTTTTGGTCACTAGATTACAAAAAAAGATGTTGACTTTGCAAAAAGTGCAGAGAAGAGCAACTAAGATGATCAAAGGCCTGGAGACTAAAACATATGAAGAACAGCTACAGGATTTGGGTTTGGCTTGTCTAAAGAAAAGAAGAATTAGGGGTGACATGATAGCAGTATTCCAGTATTTGAGGGGCTGCCCCAAAGAAGAGGGGGTCAACTTATTCTCCAAGGCACAGAGAGCAAGGTAAGAAACAATGGATGGAAACTAATCAAAGAAAGAAGTGTAGAATTAAGGAGAAACTTCCTAACAGTGAGAACAATTAACCAGTGGAACAGCTTGCCTTCAGAAATCATGGGCGCTCCATCACTGGAGGTTTTTAAGAAGAGACTAGATGGTCACTGGTCTGAAATGACATAGCATCTCCTGCTGGAGCAGGGGGTTGGACTAGAAGACCTCCAAAGTCCCTTCTAGCTCTATTCTGATTCTGAAAGTTTAACCTAAAGTTAACCTAATCCTACATAGCTTTTTCTCTGGTAATATCACACTACTAACTAGAGCATACAAAACATTTGCTAGACCAATACTTGAATACAGCACATCGGCCTGGAACCTGCATTACGTATCTGATATTAATACAGTGGAGAAAGTCCAGAAATATTTCACAAGAAGAGTTCTCCACTCCTCTACTCTTTGCAGAATACCTTATGCCACCAGACTCGAAATTCTAGACCTAGAAAA